ACCAACCCAAACATGTACTCTCACAGACCCAGGACCTATAGAAATCATGTTTGTGTATGTGTAACTTACAAAGACTGTGCTCACTTATCAAGAAAAGAGTTGGTTTAGGCCCAGAAAATTTATAATTTCTTGGATATATGTACTAGCATCCCATCCAGGGTGAAAGTGGTGAAATTACCTATAGTTACTTTGTGCTGGGAACACTGGGATAAGCTTTGGCTGAGTAAATCACCTAGCTTGAGTACAGATTTTATCTTTACCAATCAGTGTTCCAGCAGCATATATCTATCTTTGAACTCCTTACCCTAAAAAGTCTCCAAATCATCTCCTTACTGACATTTTCTTTTTCTGCAAAATCTTCCAGGTAAAAGTTTACATCACTTCACTCATTCTCTTCTAAGAGGACTTGGGGCACTGTTCTATCAGCTTTGTCACAATGCCCTCCTGCAATATTCTGACCTGTAGTATCATTTAAATGTCTATTGTGGTGGAACTGTGGCTCAAAATGGCCAAAGCTAACCACAGCACAACCATCCTCACATGATGATTCTCCAAGAACAAAGTTCCAATCCTCACCAGGGTAAAGATCCACCCAGGTAAGACCAATGATGCAGTAACCATCAGCAGGGAGATTAGTTTTCAAGTACTGCATCACATCTGAAATTAGAATAAAAAAGTTTGTGATCATTCATGTTTATTAGATATAGTACAAAAAAGTACTCATTGTTTGCTGCATGACAAAGTCAATTCCCATATGGATTGTAACATTTCAACTTTTAGATTGCAGTCCTTGTTAAATCATGAAGCTACTAGTTATGAGGCAACTTATCATGCATTCAACAGCATGACCAATCAACTTCATCACTGGAAGAAGGCCAGCAATAAAGGCTGGTTTTCATTAGTGACGGAGTCAGAGTCGGAGTCGTAAGAGTGCTTGTGACCTGGTGAAAATAAAAAAACGGAGTCATAAGCGCAGTCATAAGCTCGACAGAATGGGAGTCGGAAGAATCAGAACATTCCCATTTTCTTCCGATTCCGCTTATGACTCTGTCGTTTACGATCCAGTGAAAACTGCATTGTCGGAGTCGGAAGCGGAAGCGGAAGAATAAACCAAACACATTGCTCGATTCCAGGCCCGCGAAAGTACAAATTTTGGCGCCAAAGACAACATGGAGGACAAAGAGCAACTTTGGCTCTTATTAATCATTATTTTGCGCAGGCAGAGACAATGCAGGAATAATCTTGTTCGAAAAAGAAACCAAATTTGGGTTCGTGATATCTATCGACGTCGAGCAGCCTAGGAAGAGTATGCTAACCTTGTCAGCGAACTACGACTTGCTGATCGTGAATCGTACTTTCGGTAGGTTCAGTTCGAGTATTTTAACTTTTAATTTCGTAATTTTACCGTCAAGCTCACACGTTTAAATTTGTTACGGCTATTTGTGCATTTTGGAAAGATGGAATCGAGGATTGTGATTGGTTTATTCTTCTGCTTCCGCTTCCGACTCCGACAATGCAGTTTTCACTAGATCGTAAGCGACGGAGTCATAGGCAGAATCGGTGCTCTGCTTCCGACCCTGTCGGTTTGATTTTCACAAGATCGTATCGCTCCACGCTTCTGATTACGACTCCGACTACAACTCTGTCGCAAGTGAAAACCAGCCTTAAGCAATCAGAACGTTGCAATCCACAAAGAAAGTGACTGTACTGAAAGAAAAATAATAAATACTTTGTTATTACATTTCAAAGTGAATAGACTGCTAATGCAACTGTTTTTTGTCTGAGCTCATGATTCCTATTGACTGGATAGCAATATATCCCCCCAATAGAAAGAGCTGAGAACTAGTGTTACAAGATTATTTGGTTTTATCAACTGAGTTGATAATATAAATTAGCCACCAAAGAGAGATTCTAAAGCTGATACTTTTTTTTAGCATTGGATAACAATATACTCCCCTATTAGAAACTACTGGGAACTAGTGTCATAAAATAATTTGGTTTCATCAATTGAGTTGATTATGTGAATTGGCCACAGTAGAAAGATTCCAAAGCTGACACTTTTTTCAACATTAGATAATATGCTCCCCCATTAGAAAATGCTGAGAACTAGCGTTACAAGATAACTTGGTTTTATCAACTGAATTGATAATGTGCCGGAATCAGCTACCGTAAAAAGATTCTAAAGTTGACACCTTTTTCATCATTAGCCCTTCATCAGAACAAATGATAAAGGGCTACCACTCGCCACGTCAGCCAAGGACACAGCACTTTTTAAGAAACTTTTCCCCTTTCTCCTAATGTTAGACACAAACCTAAAAAGTGCATGTAGCAATTAACCATTGCAAGACCATTTCAGAGTGGTAATGATAGCCAATCATGTCATACCTAGCGGAATATCTCAATAGGCCAGCTAAAACAAGCAAACTTCTCAAAGTATGGGAAAACCCCAGTAACCAAGCTGAAATTGGCTTTAGTTTTGTATCTGATTGGTTGAGAATTTGGCAAAAGATTTCAAGACTTAATCATGGCGACCAAAAGTTAACCCTCTCTCTCAAGATCTCATCCATAATTCTCCTTACTGTCTGCTATACAATTCTTATGATGTTAGTTTGGAGAAGTCAGTATTTGATCCTCCAATAATCCTCTCGTTGATATTTTTCTTGATTCTTATCACTTCTCTGCTTGATATTGTATTGATAAGGTAAGAGGAAATTCTATTGCTGTTACCCCTTAATAAAGCTAGCGGATTATATTCTTTTCCATCAAAACTATTAAAGTTGGCTTGGCACCTCATATCTAAACCCATAGCTAACTTAATCAATTATTCAGTGCAACTGGGTAAATATCCCTCTCGGTTAAAAATGCCAAAATTATTCCTGTCTATAAATCAGATGACCCAACGGATCCTGGTAATTATCGTCCCATTTCTCTACATTCTATTTTCAATCGTATCTTCGAAAAACTAATGTATGGACGTCTTAAAGCTTTTATTGATAAAAATACCATTTTATTTAGGGACCAGTACGGTTTTCGAGAGAAATATTCAACCCAACACTCAATTCTTGATATTGTTAACACTATTCAGGAAAATATGGATAAGAAATTAATCTCTTCTGGAATTTTTCTTGACCTGAAGAAAGCCTTTGACACAGTTGACCACTCAGCATTACTTTATAAACTGGGCCACTCTGGAATTTGAGGTGTAGCTATATCTTGGTTTATGTCCTATCTATGAAATCGTACACAATCGACACAAATTGAATGTACAGTTTCAGAGAAAAGAACAGTGGCTTGTGGAGTTCCACAGGGCTCCGTGCTTGGCCCATTGTTATTTTTGCTATATGTTAATGATATCTATAATGCTTCTGAGAAATTTAAATTTCATTTGTTTGCTGATGACACCAATCTCAAGTCTCAAGTCTTTGGAGACTATAGTTACAGCGAAGCTGTCAAAGGTCTGGAATTGGCTTAATGCCAATAAATTAATGCTTAACGTTAAGAAGTCTAACTTTGTTATTTTTCAACCCAAAGGATGTAGATCTAATCATCAAGTTAAAATAAAATTAATAAACAACAATACTAACTCTTCTACTTATCTCGAACAGAAGGTATATGTGAAATATCTTGGAGTTTTGATTGATAGTCACCTTACGTGGAAACCACAAATTGATTATGTTACTACCAAAATCAGTAAAACTATTGGCGTCATTGCGAGACTGAGACATTTTGTTCCCCAAAGTGTTCTCCTCAACCTTTATAGATCTTTAATCTTCCCGTATTTGTCTTGTGGCCTTATTGCATGGAGTCAAGCTACTAAATCAACTTTATATAAGATTTTGGTGTTACAGAAATGTGTCATATGCCTTATTCATTTCCTCCCATGCAGAGGTCATTCTCTTCCTTTCTTTATGACATCTAATATTCTACCGGTAGAGCTACTCTATTTTGAAACTGTCTCTGTTTTCATGCATGATGTCTCGAATGATTATGAACCGGAAAACCTCTGTGACTCCTTTACTTGCTCCAGAAAAATACACTCATATAACACCAGATCAGCTTCTGCTGGAAATTTTTATGTTAAACCTTCTAGATTAAACCTCATGCAGAATTCTGTTGGTAGATTTGGAACTGTCCTGTGGAATTCTCTGAGTATCACTACACGTGATCTGACTCGTAAACAGTTTAAGGAAAAACTCCATGGTACAATTCTGAATATCCTGGCCATTGAGGATAACTATATCGATTTGGCATCTCTTCTCCAAAAAATTTGCGGCCTATGATATCTTCTCAAGCCTCAATTGCTCCTTGTGTCTGAAATAGCTAATTTTGTATGTTTATATTGTCTTATTTTTATGAATTTATTTAATGAATTTAATTATTTTATATATTTGTGCATTTATTTATCTGCTGTTCTTTTTCTTTTCATTTTATTCTTATACTTAAGCTGTAATGATCTTTTCATTTATAATTTGCTTTAGGCTCTTAACAAATTGTTGTCACTGCCTGCTGCGATTAGCCTGTGCTACTTGCAGGCACTGTCAATTAAGTAAGGTTTTTCTTTTTCTTTATTTTTCTTGAGTAATTTTTAATCATTGTAACCCCCCACCCTGATGCGAAATAAATTGTTGTTGTTGTTGTTATCTTGGTCACAATAGCAATTCCAGATTACTTTCCAAATGTGATTACAAAATTTCTTTAGTGTGAGTAGAGCTAAGCCAAGCCACAAAGAATCAACTGGTGCCTGAAGGCTCTGGCACCAGGTATCTGAGATGTCCAACTCTTCAAAAGTTTTCCTAAATACCCCACTATGCAATTTTCCTGAAGATCAAATGTTGATCATTTGTGGCATGCAAACCTATAAACAACAATACCATAAGCCCCTCAGATGGTCCTTATAAAAGCAAGTTGTAGAATACTGATTTACTTTAAGGGAAACTTCAAATTCCAAATTCTCCGGGTCCGTGCGATGAAATAAGGCCCGCTAAATTGTCCATTCGTAGCGCACTCACTGAGAGACTTAACAAGATCAGTTTGTAAACGTAAATAATAATTATATACAACCTCATATTTTAAACCCTACTAACCTGTCACTAACAACTGCAGTTTCCCAGTGTCTGGATGAAATCTCTGTTTACAATTCACCTTTGTGACGGGAATCTCGTCGAGATATACCACGGTCATTCCGAAAAAGAAGCAACTCACAAACCTCCTAATCAACTCGAAAATGGAGACACTTCCATGCTCAACTGGCGTCCGCAAAACCTTTGGAAAGGGGCGCACAGGTAATATGTATATTATCCTCTGTCTAGATCGCTTTCTGTGATGCTTTCTCAAGTTCCTGAAACACGTTTGAACCTTCCATTCAGGATAGGTTTGAATTTCACGCAGATCTAGGGCACCTCCTGTATATGTTTGATAAAGATTTTGACATGAATCCGTCGCTAGCTTGAAAAGGGAACGTACCCCATCATCAAAATATTTCATTTTTCCAATAACTGCTGATCTGTTAATCGGCTTCGATTTGGATCCGTTCATGTTAAATATCAAGCTTTCAAAAGCAGCCACTAGCTGTACTTGAAGCTCTGAACCAGCAGTACAGCCGCCATTTTGAAAACAATACCGAAAAGGCCCTGGAAACGATGTCCTCAGCGCGGGAAAGCGCTCCTTTCTGACGCAACTCGTGCATATCCTAGCTCCTCTTCACCCCGAGATTTCAGATTTTACAGCTTGCTGGGACAAAAGGACATACGGTCAACTTCTATCTGGAGCACTCACGGTTCTTTTTCTCAGAGTATGCTTGGGTCAATCACTGAATGACATCATCTTTCTCCTAAAAATCACCAGGCGGAAAAAGTTAATCAACTGCTTTATATCAGCATTCCTGTCCAAGCAGAATGCACGAAGTTTGTTAAGGCGTAGAATACTTTACAAAACTTCTAAGATTTAGAATAATCTTCTAAGCATTTCTGTATGCCAATCCATGGCAGTGGAGAGTTACTTTAGCTCCATCAAACAAATCTAAACAGAATATTCAAGATTCCTACTTTTCAGTTGAAAACTGCATCTTTGGTGAATGAAGGAAAGTGAGTTTCTAAAGAAACTTAAGGGCTGCGTCGGTGGCGGTAGTACTAGTTAATTTGGTTTTATCAACTGAGTAAACAATGTCAAATTGTTGAAATTTGTCTGATAGAGTGATAATGACTTAAATTACACGGGTTGATGACCAAACTCGCGCCACACCACCGAGGCTAAAGGCTTCAGATGAAGAAGACCAATACACGTACAGTTGATTTTGCCATACTGCTCGCAGTGGCACATGGCAACAAAAGGGACATAGCATACATAGAGTCTCTCTTTCATAATGTCTGTCTACAGGGATATCAATAAAGACACCCGTCAGACTTGTTCAAATCAAAAAGAATTTTCTTGTCTGAGCAGACTGCAAATCGTTGTAAAGGAATACCGTAAGTCAGAATTATTTATCGAAAAGCATTTTTCCATAACTCAAACGAGGAACGTCAAATTATTGAGTATACGTATTTTTACGCTGCTGGTTACACGTGGTTCATGTAAGAATAATACCTTTGATTGAACTTGATGTCAAGGAATAAGTATAAAATAATGCACAACATGCTTAAGGAAGAAAACCTCTATCATATTTGATGTCATTTAAGCTTAATGATGCGAAATACCGAAACAATTTTGAGTATGCATTTGAAGACGATTATTCTGAAGAGATCTTTCACTGTACAAACAAGGTAACACTATTCCTTTACATACATTCCTTCCATCCCTCTGTAGTAAGACTAACGATTAACCACCTTTGCAATAGTAAAGAGACTCACTCTTCGAAGATTTAGACAAGGTAATTAACTAAAAGACTATCAGTATTGGAGTTGCAGTAAATCATATCGTCAGGGTCAATTTCTTTTTGATCAGTTTCCAATTTATTTCAACATGTCTTTGATTTAAACTCCATTGCAGCACGCTCTATCTGGTATCGCTAAAAATTACAGGAAGTGAAAGAACTAAGATTTTTCCTTTGATCACAGTTTGGCAAAACCAGGTTGAAAGAGTTATACTGAAATAATTTGGCATTAAGTTGGGCTAGGTTTTGTGCTGCGTCGGTCAAATTAGCCAGGCAATGCTTAGATGCTTTATGTGCATTCTATGTAAATGGTCAAGTATAACTGAGTCTGGAGTTGGGAACAATCAGTTATTGTGTTCATTTGGTTTTTCTAAAGCTCTAACATGATTTCGGGCAAAAAGTAGCGAAGCTGGAGATTGTATACTGGGGAGATTTTCTAAGAAAAATCGAAATCTCCTTTTGGAAAATATTTTGCTAGATTACGTTTTTCTCCACGTTATAGTGAGTGATTGAAAATTATAGTCTTAGTCGAATACACGAATCACAGAATAAAATACAGCCGGGGTGATTTAAAATCACAGTCATGTGAACAATTACAAAGTAACAGTCATGATTACTCCTAAAAAGCACATTTACATTCTCACGTGTTAAAGCCGTCATCACGGTCTGTTTAAAAGCTCTAATCACCATTTCAATCACGATAGCAGGCACTACACACTCTAGACCCCAGCTCGTGAGCGGCGTAAATTTCGATGAAGTTGTTCCAAGCCTCTTTACACCTGTATGACGAAATGCCTTTACAGCTTAATACTCATATTGCAGCTACATTAAAAGTCAAAACTCTGAACGGTTGTCAGGCCAAGCTTGTACCAAAAACTCAGCTACCATGTCATGTAGTAAAGTTCTCATTGCCTAATGTCTATTGTCATAGTTTTCTCCTCGATTTTACTGATCATGACGACTTTGATCCGAGAAGTTTATCAGTTGTAATTAATAAGGATACATGGTTTGCATATTTTCTGGTAAAACTTCTCCACAGTCGTAGCATTCTGTAGGACTGAAAAGAACTTTTACGTAACAAGTTTCCCCTCCATCCAGTGTGGTACCAACGGAAAAGGGGAACTCGAAAATGTATCTCAAGTAGTCGCGATCCATTTTCTTTCCATCGAGTTCCCCTGAGCGAAGCTTGTTGAGAATTGATTCGATATAGAAGTCTGCTCTAGGAGTCTTATTGAATCGCGATACATTTGTAGCTCTAGGAGACGAGCTGAAGTGCCTTCGGATGATGTGTGTTTTTCTTCTACTGGTCACTTTTACCCTTTTAAGAATTTTTTTACATGAATTGCAACGTTTAAGTTTCTTCATTTTATACACTGGTCAAATTGCGAAGCCAAAGAAGAAAAGGCGTGTGAAGAAAAGCACTCCCAGGAAGCTCGTTCCCAGGAAACTCGTTCCCAGGAAGCTCGTTCCCAGGGCCTTTTACGTTAGTTGGGGGTGGGAGGTTAGATCATATATCGAAAAATTAGAGCTCGTTCAACCATCCCCACAGAAAAGGTTTGACACTTGATTCTTATCAAATTCGAACTAGTTTGTTGAGCTGAATTGTGGTATTCGTTTCAAAATACAAAGCTATTTTGTCACGCGATCAACGTTTTAACACAGAAACAAGGCTGCGATCTAAATCGACCTTTTAGCTCGCAAAGGATAAGCTAATGCGATTAAAAAGCGATGGAGATTTCGTAAACAAGCATACAACAGAGTGATACTAATTAGTGTTACGTGACTACTTGGGTGATCAAAAACTACAAAACGGTGTGATTTTACTGGGTTCTATCATAAACGGAAAATTCGTTCATCACTGATTACGGAAATGATTCTAGAAACGAAGATAAAAGTGCAAAATGTCTTCCAAGTCACAGTAAGTTACGACAAGGAATACGACCGGGAAATGAAAACAGAACTTGCTTACTTCAAGTGAAGATTTGCAACATTTCGTCTATTATTTGGACCGCTTAAATGATATTTTTAGTGTTGACATGTTCTCAAGGTATTGTTCAATCGAAGATTTTGTCTTTGAATTATTCAATTTTTAGAATTTACAACACAACGCTACTCGATTTTATGGCTGTGAGATTATGCGAAACGAAGGGTGTCATAAATGCAAGAAATTCGTTGGTTTTTCTATCTGATCGGTCTATCTCAGTACTTTTTTGAATAAAAAGATATTTCTTGCTCATTTTGCCTGACATTTTATTAACAGCTTTTGGTCATGAGAATATTTATATCTTATTAAACGTTTTCTTGTGCAGTATCGCTGAATATTTTTACGAGTAAACAGCGAGTAAAATACTCAGCGAAGAAAAATACTCAGCGATACTAAACACACACGCAAAAAAACGTTTAATAACAGATTTATTATCCAGCAAGCCAAATTGTTATTTCAGAGAGGGCGAATTTCGTGGATATTCATTTACGGGGAGTGCGTGACAAAAGTAAGTGAAGCGAATGGAATTGGCGCGTTGTTGTGTTGCTGTTTCTACTTTTTTCGATAAATGATGAAATTTCATCGTCGTCGAACTACTTTTCGTCGTTCGATTTATCTAATAAACGTGGAGCAATATTCGCAAGCCATTCCGACTCTTCGTCGTCAGAAAAATGATTTAAATCGTCCGCCATTTTTTTTCGTAACTTCAATCCAATTCGTCGATCCGAGAAAACCTGTCTAACTGGTTCTCTGGAGTACAAATACCGTGAGATATTTGTACTCATTTTGGGCGTTATTTGTACTCTACCAAGCACAGTTGGATAATGAATTACAGTATCAGCGTTTATTCTAACCCGAACGCCTGTATCTAACGCTTACTTCAGTAAACTAGTCTTATTTCCATTTGAAATTCCGATTTCCTTTAGAACACTATCTTACACTTGTTGAAGCTGACTTGCAAACGAGGCAAATATAAAGAGCCGGATATCTTCAGTCAAATAACAATAGGACAAGGACATTAAAAGGTTTTTAATCGAAAATGAAACGCATCATATTTTGATCTGTTTGGAACCTGTCACCTGTTGGAATACAGAATCATTTTCCATTTGTCTGTACTGGCTAATTCGCATAACGATTACATTCGATAAGACTAGAGCTACCGAATTTAACCAACCAAATCCAACCAAAATAGAGGACGAGGGGGGCAAGGTAGTGCTCAGGACATCATCCACTGCACACCAAACGCCTGCATGAAGTTCCTGAAGAAAAAAAGCCTTACAGTGGCGGTGCATCACCTTACTGAATGTAATGTGTCCGAATCCATTTCTGATAAAACAGCGACTAAAAAGCGATGATCTTTTTTTGAACGCCGAAATTACCTTTCGCCATATATTTCCTTCTAGCGACTTGCAATAGTTTTATGGATCCAACACTTTCTTGGAAGTCCCACATTAACTACTTGGGAAAGAAGATCTCGTCTAGATTAGGAATGTTGCGTAGAGCACGAAAGATCTTGCCTCAGTCATCCTGTACCATTTTGTACAACGTAATGATATATACTACCCTTTTTGACTATTGCTGAGTTGTATGGGATAGTTGTGGGGCTGTATCTAAAGGGTATCTTCATAAGCTCACTAAGCGTGCGGCTTATGCGGCGAGTGTCATCTTAAATAGGGCTGTGAGTGAAACAGATAATGTTCATATTATTGGTTGGCCTAACCTTCAGTCTCGTAGAGACTATCTTAAATGAATGCTGGTCTTCAAATCTGTGAACGGCTTAGCACCTTCCTACTTATTAAGTGATTTTACTCAAGCTGAGAAATATCATACATATAATACCAGGCATGGGGATTTGATTCGTCTTCCTTTGGCCAAAAGCACTAAATATGAAGGCAGTTTTAGATATAATCGGGGGTACGCTTTTAATAATATGCTCAAAGCAATAAGATCGCAGGAAAGCCTTGAAACTTTTAGAATTGTAAACAGATCTAATTAGTTATGTAGACTTTGTACATATGTTTTTTTAATGAGTTTTACTTTTTCTATCAGTTTTACGTGTAAACTTTGTACTGTCAAATTTTGTTTCGCAGGGCTCTATTTAAACTAGTTATGCTAAATGTGATGTCCCCGTTTAAATATTGATTAAATAAATAGATAAATAAACAATGTTTGTCCCGTAGTAATCCCAGAAATCTTTTTAAAACACAGAATCCGATTACTGACAACTCTTCAATTGCAAATGATTAATGTCTGAAGGAAACGCCCTTTCTGAGAGCTATCAATAAAGACGAAACATGGGCACTCCTGCGCATGCAGCTATCAATCATGATCAATACGGGTGTATCTGTGCAAGAAGTGCAACCAGTTCCAAGCTGAGGTGGATTCAACTCGATTTCGTATCCCGATCTTCTCTTTATAAAAGAGATCGGATATTGTCCTGTAATTGAAGGTCACCGTCAACTGAACTATGCACAGTTTACAGTCTTGAAACACGCCCAGAAAATCTGAGCCAGTCCAATGTTCTCAACAACAAACGTTTCAGACAAATAAAAAGTAGAAGACTTTGGAAGAATGTTATCTTCTAAGCAATATTGCGAAGAAAAATCTCGCCTCTAGCTTTAATATTTTGGAAAAAAAATTAATCAACCTTCATGAAGGACTACTCGACGTACCTTAAAATCGTGTGCATATTATCCAGATTCCGACTACTGTACCCTCTTTAATGGGAATTTGAACAATCCGAAATCCTCTGACGATACACCGTTATACTCGTCTGTCATTTGAAATCTACACAAAACTATCGTAACACCTGTCATTTGTAATAAACATGTACGCTATCAAGATGGCGTGACGCTGGATTTCTCCATGAAGTTTCCATCAGGTTGCCCCGAAGAAGACGAGAAATGGACATTTTTCGATATTTCAGCAGATTTCCGCGCATTCTGAGGTAAAAACAACCAAAAAAGAGAGGAAAACCTTGATTGACACCGCGGAAATAGGTTGTTTAGGGCACGATACAGTATTTTATTGGTCAGCGGAAACCTTAAAGAAACCACAAAATGCCGATAACTTTTGCAATGTTTTCGCCGTGAGCCTGGTTGACAACGTAAAAAGGCGAAACTTAGAAACAATACTGTAAACTTAGCTTGGAAACTCGGCTCACCTTTTGGATAGTTCTTATGCTCAATTATATATTTTGCCAAAGCCGAACTGAAGTTGCACACGTCGAGAAGAAGACAAAACATGGGTACTCGTGTAAGTAGCACGGCCATCCTATCTCACTCGTTATCAGCGAATGTAGTATCAAGTTTGCCAAGACAGGTCTACCTCTAAACCTGAGGTACACTGCTGTAACATGTGTAGGATTGAAGGCCCCCATAGTACAAAAACTGGCCTAAACAAGAGGAAGAATAAACCGAGTAATGTTTTAAGTACAAAATGTCCATTTTAATGATAATAAATTAAGTTTTCACTTTCCACCTTGGTTTCGTTAAAGTGTCCGCTGACCAGTAAAGTACCGTATCTGTATCGTGCCCTAAGAAACGTATTTCCGCGGTTTCAATCAAGGATTTCCTCTCTTTTTTGGTTGTTTTTACCTCAGAATGCGCGGAAATCTGCTGAAATATCGAAAGGTGCCCATTTCGTGTCTTCTTTGGGGCGACCTGATGGATACTTCATGGAGAAATCCAGCGTTACGCCAGCGTTACGCCATCGTGATAACCTACATGTTTATGACAAATGACCGGTGTTACGATAGTTTCGTGTAGATCAGCCAACTTTAATAGGTTTCAAATGACAGACGAATATAACGGTATATCGTCAGAGGATTTTGGATTGCTCAAATTCCCATTATAGAGGGTACAGTAGTCGGAATCTGGATAATATGCACACGATTTAAGGTACATGTTTGTAGTTACGTCGAGTAGTCCTTCATGAAGGTTGACCAATTTTTTTTTCAAAATGTTAAAGCCAGAGGCGAGATTTCTCTTCGCATATTGCCTAGAAGGAGACATTCTTTCAAAATCTTTCACTTTTCATTTGTCTGAAACGTTTGTTGTTGAGAACATTAGATGTAAACATTGCCACTTTATGCAATATCTGATTTTTGAGCTTCGTTCGCGAATTGCCACTATGAAAAGTAGAGACCGGCACGCAGAGATTTTTACATATATAAAAACTAGAATATTTAACCAACTATGTACGTAGTTTCAGTTCCAGAATCGGCGTACTTTTGGAGAAATTTAGACAAACGTTTTCCCTGTACCCTACAGCAAAAATGGCCGAAACTGTACCAAGATAAATAACCTATTGGTGTGTTCACACTAACTCCCAGGGAAAATTGAATGCATCAAAGTAAAGAAAAATAATGTCGCTATTTAGGATAGAAGTACCAATCTGTAAGGTTTTATTTAGTTTGAGATAGAGAAATAAACATTTTACGCTTTTTTACGATGTTTTTGTATGAAAATGAGGCCCCAGACCTCGAACAAGCAGCCATTGTTACCATGGCAACAAGTGTGCTGCAACCTTTTAAAAGGGCATTTTTGTGCATCCTTCCTCAGTACCTAACTGCATGCAAAATTTAAAGGGGGTGGAAAATTTTCATTACCCAAGATGTTTGATTCTTACAGAGATACGTTCTTGATGGTGTTTTTGACTATGTTTTGGCAGGAGCCATCAGTGATGGGCTCCTGGTTTTGGTGAATGGAAGTGAGATCTTTGTCAGCCTTTTGATAAATTGAGGTGTCAGAAAGACATGGTTTGTATACATGAAATGTGTCGACGTATATGTCTCGGGTTGGTTCTCGGTTGGCTTTCCTAAATAAACTTATTTGGTTTACACTACTGTGTTAGTTGTTGTGTAGTGGAGACAAAATAGCATGTTTGACGCTGAATTTCTCAGAAATAGCGTGACGTGTCAGGGTGTAATTTAGGAAATATTTTAAAGACAAAGAAAGCACATTATGCATGGAAGAAACGTGTTACAACTTGCTTGTTTGCAGTTTGTTTTATCATTTCATTCTGCATACGAAAACTAAAACTAGGAAAATTTACTTACTTTATCAAATCGTTATATAAAAAAATTTTTATGTTTAAAAGTGAGGCTAACACAACCCTGCCAAACTTTAACTGCCTGCCCTGCCTATGTTTAAAAGTGAGGCTAACACAACCCTTCTAACACAACACTTCGATTTTCGCGATCAAACTTAATTCTTTCAAGATTATCAGAAAGCGATAACCTACCTGAGAATTCTTTGTCAGCTTTTCTGTTCATCCAAGTCGTAGGCTCGAGGGAACCCTGCTGCCTTGAGAAGTCACGGAGCCTTGGAAAGACTTGTTACAATTTCTCGAGTAGAAAAGTTGAAACTGCACCGTATATCAAAGTCACGGGCGACTGATCCGAGTGGTGTCATTTTTAACAGCAGTAAAATGACCAAGATGTGCATCTCGTTTCACAGTCGGATAAATCTGTCATTTTCCATTGTCTTTGTGACCTCAATTGGGTCGGTAACAGCCGGTTAGGCAACACACCAGCCTATAACAAAATGCAAAATAACATTATATGCTGCAGTTAGTACAATACAAAATAAAAGATTAACTTTACAAATTGTCACGCTATTATTAAGCTTATGAACAAAGGTAATTCTTAAATTCGGAAACCGACGAGTAATATCAGGCATATCAGGGAGGAACTGATTTCAGTCTTTAGCAGTTCTTGGGAAACAACATTTGAATATGTTTTCTAAGCAGTGGGTTCGAGAAGCTTAAGCCTATGGCTACGGGAATCATTACTAACATTTAAAACTAGGCATGCCACGCATGCCAGAGTTGTTAAATTGTGGACAAGTTATTATGCCGGTTGACTCCGATATCCAAATTTCCGTGATAGTCAGACTTGTTACAATTTTACACTTTAAGGGCCGCAGAAACTTGGAATTGTCGCAACTCAGTCGGTTTACAGTTAGATCAAGCTAAGACGGAAAAAATTGTGCCGGATAGTGCATTTCACAACCTTTCCGTTGATGTTTATGGTGGTTATGCTGCAGACAGCGCGATTAATTTTTTTTTTGTGTGTGTGCAAAAAATGCCCTCGAAGGTCTACCGTATCCATGTAACTCTACGACCTTTCTAGAGTTTTCTCACAGTTATAAAGAACTTGGTAGACTTTTGATCAGTTGAAGACATCCCGTGCGAACCAAATCAAAGTTCTTTGAAGCATTTTAAACCGGTCAAGAAGTATAAAAGTTTAAAAGTTTAAAAGTTTGTGTCGCACCTGCTCACTGTTTGGATTGTGAAGCTTCCTCCAGTATGCATGAATCAAATAATGATAAACTTTGAAATTAGTTTTTTTTCTTCCTGCTCTCTTTCCACGTTACCATCGACAATTTGGTGTTCTTTAATTACATAGCAAGCTGGTTTCAGAAGTAGGTAATGTCCGAAACCTTCTCTCTTTCTCTTCATCTTTTTGTTCTCAAATTAAAGCGTTTCGCGTCGAGTTCCTCATTGAAGAATCGCATCATCGAATAAAATCTCGCATTCTGATTGGTTAACGAAGCGAGGTATTTAAAGTGACTTGCGAGCTCAAGTCCATGGGGTAAAACGAGGCTAAGTGATATTATTTACGTACGAGATACAATGTATTATTTATGTACATAACAACCTACTTTAAGTAATGTTGTTTTCTTTTTTAACTTGTTTTTATTCAATTATGCGATTCAAGGAAAATCCAATACTTGACTCGTGAATTCCGTTAGATTACACTAAAAAACCGATATCGGTTTTCGCGTGCAATTTAAATGCGTAATTCCCTTGTCTATAATATTATCTAATGAAATATTAAGGTATTTTTGCGACTACTACGCTTGCGCATTGTCTGAGTTTTCCGATAGTAACTCAAGAGTAACAACAGAATGTATTTCGGAGCCAAGCAACACAACCGAAATGTATCTTGTGGTCTCTCGTGAATACTTCGTATCAATGATGATCTGCCGATGGTCCTCGATGACCAACGAAAAATCTCCGCTTCTTTGTGCAATGGTTTACTTTTGTATCACCCCCTCTCTGAGATTGATTGAGGTGAGTGTTTCTTTATATTTTACAACATTAACTTCTCACAGCTTTGATGTTTTGTTTGAAATCGATCATATGATAGGTTGCGTGAGTATTTTTGTGCTTTCAAGTTGATTTATACGACGAATTTCTATCGTATTCCGACCTGCTTTGACGACGCTTCCTAAACGTTATGAACGCCTGCGGGTACTCCATAAGCAAACACGTGCACTTGCCGATACGCCATAATTTGGAAGTTCTTAAGCCTCATATGAGAAAATATCACTTGAATTTTGTACTTTACTGAGCCTCTGCGGTGGATGATTGAGCCTCTTTTGTGGAATATCGCGTCCGATTGTGGGATAATCGAACCTCGCGAAGAATACAGAGGCCCATTGTGGGATAATTGAGCCTCTTTTGAGGAATACTCAGCCTCAGTGTGGGATAATTGAGCCACTTCGAAGGAATATTGCGCTCTTAAGCTCTAAGGGAAAACGTGATCGTCTTTTCCATTGCGGGATAAACAAATCTTTCTCTGGAAATCAAAACCCTACATTGCAATAAGAAAGTACTTGTCAAACTACAGTCCGTAAGTCTTTTAGTGATCGAGAAACTGTTGATATCATTGAAAGCTGTGGTGAATTCATAACAAAAGTGCTTGTGAAGTAATTTAATTCCAGATAACTGTGATGTGCTAGTTGTAAGCTAAATTATTATATGGCTGGGAACTACCGAATTCACAAATCTGATTGGCTGAAATCAATATTGAAAGCAGTCTAGATTTTCCCATCTAGACCGGCATCTAGACCGGTCTAGAAAAAAAAGGTACAAAGAATATAAAAAAATTGGCATTTAAGAGACAGCCATATGATAAACATCTTATTAAAACGGCGAGCTAGGTCGGTCTGTATGGGACAATCTTGACCTCGTTTGCTGGTACAGACCTCACTGCGTTCGGTCTGTACTGGTGACGTCAGTCAAGATTCTCCCATACAGACCTCCTGCTTGGTTAATAAGAACTAAGCAACGATCGTACTCACTGTTAGAAAGCCTTGTAGGGAATCGAAGATCGATGGACATGTGCATTCAAGAGACAGAGAACCATCTAGAATTCCTGGCAAAAAAGTTATCCAAACCATTAGAAAAAGACAACTTCGGCAAAAGTTTTAAAAGGATAATTGGGAAATCAATTCATAGATCATCTAAACTAATTAATTTAACAGCTAATTATAAGTCATGGTAGACTAACTTATTTCACCTAGGAATTTGCATTCTTTTCACACTGCTTACATTCAATCACAGTTATTGCATACATGCGAGAACTGTAGGAAAAACATTAAAAGTAAGCATTATTCTGTGTCTGATAAGAAGCTTTGTTGTCGGGTGACATTGAAATGAACCCTGGTCCTGGAGAAAATGTTGTTAGTAAATCCATTGGTTTTTTTTTCTTCAAACAAAATGTTATTAGCAATGAGATTACATAGAAATGGACTAAGACCACATGATTTTAGTGGTGGTGGTGACTGTTTTTTTCAAGCTGTTTTGCACCAATCATATGGTGATCCTAAGTTTCATTTGAATATTGGGGCTCAAGGTGTTCAATATTGAAGACAACATCCCAAGAGGTTTATTGAAAGCAATATTGATGAATCCTGGTTACAATTTCTAATAAATATGTCACAACAAGAGAAAAAGTAATTGCACTTAAGGGGGCCGTCTAGTCAGATTTTTGCGAATTTTTGGTCATCCAACCACCTTTTGGTTTTTGCTTTAAATCGATGGTTTAACCTATCTACTTTAAGGTTTTGAAGTCTTTTTAAATTAACTTTATCGGTAAAAGCTTGAAAAACGCAATTTCCACAACTGCGTCCACCATTGTTGATCGGTTGCCATGGAAACAGAATTTCAAATCGACGCATTTCCTCGAGATTTCTCGATTCAACGCCGTCCGAATTCCGTTTCCAGGGGTCTCTATCCGATTCCTGTATTTAAACTAACATCATAAGGCCTGGTTCCTCAGTGAACGCTCCACGCAGCCGATATATCGATCATTCGGTTGTTCCCTGAACCCATTCAAATTACTTCAGCTTGTTTATCATCGAACAATCATGCCTAAAGGGAATAAATCTGGTGTAAAACAACGAGTTATAAAGAAAAGTGGTAATGGTAAGAAAAGAAAGGCTTTCAAAGGTATCCCAAAGCACAGAAAGATCGCGGAAATTGCATCGAAGAGACCTAGATNNNNAAAAATAGACAATGACATTAGAATTACCCCAGTTCATTATAGTGAAATCTGTAAGTCAGAACTAAGACATGCAGACCATAGAGCTGAATGTGTGTAGAGAACATATTCTTTAAAGCTAAGAAGCTACAAATAAAAATTTTGCTGGGAAAATTGCAAGTTGCATTACATAAGTGCTACAGAAATAACAGATAAATCAAAGCAGGACAACTAAAATAGTAAGGTGCTGTAGAAAAATTAACCCATCATGATGAAGGATTTAAATTCCTCAGGGCGTTGAGAGGTTCTCCTTATTTTCAGAAAGCTAAAAGGGATCTTGCAATGATAAGACAACTTGGCTGAGCTTCTTCATTTTATAGTTTCTTATTAGCAGAAAAACATTGGATTCATCTTTTAAGGATACTTGGTCAACTTGTTAACAAAAATATTACACTGATAATGAATTAGAAAATCTTGATTGGCAGGAAAAAATACATTTATTCAAAGTGATCCTGTGACTTGTGCCAGACAGTTTGACTATCAAATTAAGTTTCTACACAGTTTTCTCTTGAGCAATGCAGCACCATTAGGTAGAATTGCTGATTGGTTGTACAGAGTTGAATAGCAGCGAGGATCACCTCATATTCATTTTTTATATGGCTTGAAAGCTCACCAACATTTGGTATTGATTGTGATAAAAAGTCATAGCATACATTGATAAAGTTATTACTTGCCAAAATCCCACTGTTAATTTGGACTTACTAAAACTTGTCAACTGACAAATACATCAACATTCTCATTCATGTAGGAAAATGTCAAAGGTATAATGATGATGTTGGTCGTTTAATTCCATGCTCTCGCAGCTAAGGTTGAAGTACAGTATGGGTCAGTATTACATAGCTACTGCATTAATATACATCTTATTGATAACAGACGGTAACAAAATTATTAAGTCTGTCTGTGGCCCCCCTAAACTGATCTACTTGAGCATTGCCAGCTCACAAAGAATAACCATGATGGACCTCTGTGGCACGAGGAAGGATGTAACTTATAGGTTCAGTCCTCCTCGCCGCAGCCATGAACCTGGAACACAGTTCACCTCTGTGAACCATGAGGGGTTGCA